ATTGGAACAGGCTGCCCAGGGAAGTGGTTGAGTCACCATCCCTGGAGGTATTTAAAAGACGTGTAGATGAGGCACTTAGGGACATGGTTTAGTGGGCATGGTGGTGTTGGGTTGATGGTTGGACTCGATGATCTTAGAGGTCTTTTCCAACCTTAATGATTCTATGATTCTATGATTCTCAGTGCCCAGCTTAATACCTTGCTCTTCATAAGAGTTTCTGGCCTTGCCAGTGAGCAGACCCTGGCCTCAGGGCAGTGTGGAACACCACTTTGCCCAGGTGGCTAGGTCACAGGTAGCAATGTGTGGCTATTTCTGCCTGTGTGCAAACCACTGCTGGGTGCTTTTAAGACCCAGGGCTTGCGGGTTCAGTTTCACACCCATGACCCATCTGGCTATGGAGTTATGCTTGCATGCTGTACGTTGACAGAGCAAATTTCATATCTGCTCATCATGAAGAGTGTTTTGGGACTTTGACTACATTAGACACGTATTTGTATTTCACTGATAAACCAGAATTTTTCCTATCCCATTGATAAACCAGAATCTTTCCCATCCAAAATGCTTGTACATGTGCTGTTGTTGTTGTGGAATCCTTGCCATCATGTGTTGTACAGCTGTGATGTCGCGTCTGTCCCTTTACCATCCCGGTGAAAAGCCAAATGTTGTACAAACCTGGCAGGCCAATAAAGCATAGCAGAACCAATGGCAAAACATGCCCCGTTGTTTCTCCTTTCTTACCCAGGTATGTACTCTGCAGGCTGTTTCCTCTCCAGGTAGGGTGGTGCCATAGCAGATTGCCTGGGAGTCCCTTTGCTTCACAGGTGACTTGAAGGTTGCGACTCAGCTCCAGTGGGCTGTAACATGATTTCCTTGTTTCTGTGTGTCTAGAGAGTGCCCTTCAGTGAACCTGCTCAAACCCTGAAAACTTGCTCCTCCATCCCCACTGGAGAACCACTGGTTGGCTGAACCACAGCCTGATATCAGTGTTGACCGAAGGGTCACTATGTACTTGGGTGTTCTTTGCCTTGGAAGATAGGTGTTCTACAGTTGTGAGCCTCTCAGTGCTGGATTGTTTCCGTGGCTGGAGCTTCTCTTGAACACCAGTTTTATATGTAAAAAATATTTTGGGTTCCCCCCCCCAAAGTTCCTAGTTGTGTGAGGTCCTCTGTAGAGTCCAGAGTGTCTCCTTTTGTTGGATTGCATTGTGGTAAAGGTGTCCTGAGAGTTCTGGCCAACAGAGCACCTTCTTAATTTTTTTGCCTTTTAGAATAAGCCAGGGGTTATTGAAGAAATAATCTTCATAGTCCTCCCCTGGGCTGTGGGCAGCATGAAGGAAGGGCTGTCCAGAGCTGCCTGCAGGTGTTTGGTCTGTTCAAAACTGCTGCCAGAGGCAGATCTGGCAGGCTGCAAACTCTTCTTTCCCCAGAAATAACTTGTGAGGATGTGTCAGAAATCTCCAGACTTACAGAGCAAGCACATCTCCCTTTCCCCCAGCACCGAGGCAGTGGGCACCTTGCCATGCTGTCTCTCACTTTGTGTTTTGTGTGCATAGCCAGAGCAGTTAGCCAGTCCGTTTGGGGGTAAGGGGGGGCTAGGCTTTAGCATGGCATTTGGGGGAGCTGGCAGGACAATCCTCTCTCTGCCACGGCTTTTCTTGTGTGATCATGGGCAAGTTGCTCATCTTTGACTCTGTTGGGGATGACAAAGCTACTGTATGGGGGGAAGAGGGTTGCGAGAGGAGTTGTCCTGCTTTCTCCTTCTCTGGGGAGCTGGTAAACACTGACTGTAGGAAGTGTGTAGTCTGAGGTAAGTAGGAGGAAAGCATGGAGAGGGCCATTTGTGTAAGGCAGAGCATGTACATTGCCCTTTGCAGAGCAGTATCCTTTCTTTCCCATGGTGCATGTGCAGCTCTGGGTGAGTACTGGTGGAGGAGGGGTACTAGTGCTTTCTGAGGAAAGGGCAATTGTTCTGTCCCACGAAACATCAGCGGCAGGTGGGGAAAGAGAGATTCAGCTGTGAGACCAAGTGGAAAAAAAGCCACAGAAATGAAAGCTCTGGCTGACTAAAGGAAGAGTTCAGTTTGGGGCGCCACCATTTTTGATGGATTTTGTTGCAAAGGGGAAAGCAGCATCAGTGATGCCTTCTTCCATGAATTAAACGAGCTGAACTGAGAAAAGCAGGCCCTGTGCTCACCTCTGTTCAAGCCTGCCAGTGGGGCACTACCACTGCATGGTGCGGGGTTGCAAGGGCTCCAGACTTGCTTCCCCGAAGTGGTCTGCGGCGGTGGCGAGTGGTCAAACTGGGGCTGGTCAGGTGCCTGGGTCCTAATCACATTCTTCATCCCTTCTTTTTTCAACTTCCAGGCACCTCAGAGCAAAAAGCCCCTGTTGAAGAAAGGGTCAGTGCTAGGCAGTTACCTGCTGGACGACAAGCCAGTCAAACGGTTAGATGGGTGTCTGTGTTGTGTTTGTGGTGTCAGTCTGTGCCCGCTGGAGTATCCTGTCAGTCAACCTGTGTCTAGTTCTCCCACCTTGGTGCTGGCTGGGTTTGGGAGCATGGGGGGTGCAGCTTGACTGTGGCTCTAGCTGCCTCTTGGCATCAGGTGGTGTTGGCTCAGCGTGAAGCTGAGGATGCTGTTAGCTAATTTCCACAGCAGGCTATGGGCCCTCCTCTGGGCTGCTTCTACATGCAGCAATGGGTGAGCAAACCTAAATGCCATCAGAAGCTATGAGAGTTCATGGGATGGAGGTCATGAAGGCTGCCTCTGACCGAGTCAGGCAGCTCCGATAAAATGAATGGATCATCTCCCAAGTGTGCCAGTTCCTCCTCAGGCAGAAATCCTGTCCACTGGCACCTCATGCCAGAGCCCATATCCCTGGGGCATGGGAGAGGGCAGGAGTTGCACAAGGCTTGTGTTCTCTCTGGCAGCTGAAAGCTCCAAGGAGAGGGCCCAGCTCCAGGTGGGTTCATCCTGCCCATCTCCCTCCACACCTGCAGATGCTCACCTGGCACACCAGGCCTCCCCTTCAGCCAGGGCAGGTGAACATGTCTGTGTGGCCAAGGCCTTCCCCCCCACACTACATGGAGACTGTACAGTGGCTTCAATACCCATGTCTGCCTGCTTGCCTGAACTGTGCTGGCATTAAGCATCAGCCCTTGTGAATGAGTTGTGTGATCAGCACACTAATATTAGCCAAAAGCCTGGCTCCTCTGAGAGGCAGGAGAGGCCAGCCCAGCCCTGACCTGGCTTGGAGCTGGATGTCCCCTGCAACTGCTGGCCCCAAACAGGTTTTAAAGGTGGCACTCTTCCCTGTTTCCTACCAGGTCTCTGCAGAAGGTTCCACTGCTTCCCAGTTTCTCCTGGTGCCAACCAGAGACATAGGTCTAGACTCAGAGTTTCTTCCAGCTTCAACTCACCCTTAATGCCTGCAGTTCTGGTAGTGGCATTTAAGAATTGAGCTTCAGGCTCCTGGGCTCATGGACTGATGAAAAACTAGGTGGAGCAGGGCTGATTCTTGAGCCCAGGCTGAGAGGTTGCTTGGATGGGTCTGAGGCAGAGCTCTTTCATGGCTGTGTGACTGGCAGACATGCTATCCGTGGGATCAGATAATGAAGTTCTCCTATCCTCCCCCCCAGCTATTTCTTGCAAAGATCCTGCTAGCTACTGCTGGCATGAACCCACCAGAAAGGCTTAACAGGTGGAGAATTCTGGCAGTGAGGGTGATGTGAGAAGGGGAGGAGTATTTGTTGGTCCTGCCTCTGTCCCAGTGCTGCGTCACACTACATTGCTTGAGAAACATGAATAAAATCCATTAGATCTGGAGTCACCGTTCACAAAGTTTTATGTTTGTCCCTCCCCCCTGCCCCCTCCGAAGGGGCTTTTGAGTCTCAGCCCCTCATTGCTGTGACTCCTGCCAGCCCTGGGAGATGAGGGCTGTCCCCCTGAGCCTGGGAGGATGTACCTATTTTCTATGGGGAGAGGTTTCAGCTGGCCTGGCTCTGGGCTGGAATTTGGGGCAGATGCATGGAGGACAAACAGGAATGTGAGCTCCCTTTCATGGGAAAAGTGTAGGCATGGCAGCAGGTGAATTTTGCAGCCCTGATGAGGTGTACTCGCAGGAGTGAGAGAGGAGAGTTGTTGCCTTGACTCCTGCACTAGTAGCAAGAGAAAAATGTTGCAGAGAGGTGGGATGTGCTGCTTCTGAAGAGATTGACTGTAGTAAGCCTCTGGTCTCTCTAATTTGCTTCCAAATGCAATCTGGTGGCCAGTGAAAGCAATGGAGATACCTGTGGTGGATAAAGCCCTTTGAGTTCTAAGCATTCTCATTCCCTTCGTCTAGTTCTTTAACCGTGGAAAGCCAAGGCAGAGCTAAGACACTGCCTTGCTCCTCAGCAATGATGCCAGTAGTTTCAACTGGTTATTCTAGCTGTTCTTCTGAAGACTGTTCCTCCACTTACCATGTCAGCTCTATCCCCAATGAACAAAGTGCATCAGCCTGCTCTTGTGTAGGCACAGTCAGTGCAACACCTATTCCCCACTACCACAGGTTGGGCAGGGGTCCTGGGGATTTCTGGCTGTTGAGAGTGCAGCGTGGCTGGTTGGAAGCTTTATAAAACAAACATCTTTCGGGTCCTGGCTTCCTTACCTAGGGCCAGGTGTGGATGCAGGCCAGAGCAGAGCCAACACCAGGCGAAGTGGCCCTGGTGTGAGCGTGCTCACTGCAATTTGCACACCTGTGGCAGGTTTCTGCTGTCCGAACTCAGTAAGACTTTGCTACAGCAGTGTTTGGAAGTGATGGGCTGGTTTCCTGGAGTACAGCTGTGTGCCTTCAGCAGAGGGCAGTAACATGCATGCACACCGCATGCAGCCTCCCAAGGATGATCAGCCAGCCCTCGCCCTACTACTTGCAGTGAAAACCCTTTTCACTAACCTCAAAACCTTTGTTACTTATTTTTGTGTTGTATTTGGTAACAAAAATAGAGGGGGGGTTGTTGCACTTTATTTTTTTTTTTAATGTTTTTCCTGTTGCCACCTTCGTATGCTTTGCGTCATTTTTCAGTACTGGGGGAAGTGGGAGGCAAAGAATCCTTGAAAAATCTGGAAGGTGGGAATTTTTATTAAAATTAATGAAATATATGTCGGAATGTGGAGTTGCAGAAGCAGGTATTGGTAGTTGTGTACTCTCGATGATAAAATATTTTAAGATTTGAGCAAAGTTTAAAGTAGCAAAAATTTTGGTTAAAATGTCATCAATAAGTTGCACAATTTGAACAAGACATACATCGGTCATTTTTTTGCATTTCATTGGGTTACTTCTGCTTTTTATATGAAACTATCTTTTGAGGGCAGATCTCAAAAGCGTTTCTGCTTGGCCTAGTTCATCAAAACACTAACGTGTGGGTAACATTTGAGTAGTATTCTGTCGACATGAGCTTCAAGTCACGGATATCTATGCAGTAAGAGTGGGATTTGGCTTACCTGATTTTAGACATTAACAGTTTGAACATATACCTGTAAGCTTTGACTGTAAAGGGGTCTAGCTCAGCTGCAGATACCCACACTGAGGACATCTCAGGGCAAGCAGGGTGAAACTTTTGCTTGCCGTGACTACCTGCACTGGACACTGGGGTGATGTAAGTAAGCCAATGTAGAATCTCTTTTCCAGTTTCAGCTTAAAATAAATGAAAAAAATACATTTAAAATGTTGGGCTCTGCTCTGATGTATTTCATCTATAATACTGTCAAAGGATTCTTGCTTGATTTGATCTTTTTTTTTTAAAGAATTTCTGCCTTGAATGATTTCTTTTCCCTAGGGGTGTGGCTGATGCCTTAGTCACAGGGAGTATGGGGAGTGTATGTATGAAGTAGAGTTCCTGCAAGCGTTGCATATGCACTAATTGGATCACACTGGTGGTTTTGGCAATTTGCAACCTGCTATTCTCACCCCCCCCTCCCCCATTTGTGGTGCCTGTGGGCTTTAATACAGACAACTGGCCTCTGCGGAACTTCCCTTCACCTTCCCAGTGGACGTAGCAGTGGAAGAACCCAACAGAAAGAACTGTAAATACTTCCCAGGCAATGGGACATGGTTGAAGACAGGAGAAGGAGGCAGCACAAACTTCGGAGAGAAGAGCAGAGACAAGGAGAGATGGTCATTGGCAGCAGATGCTGAGTGGTTGAAGATGACTTTGAAGGGTGATGCTGACTGTAGAAAAAATGCAGACGGATTAGATGATGCTCCATTGCCTCCTAGAGGTCAGCCTGTTGGCACCGAAACCAGGGTGAGTCTAATTACTTGGGGTTCTTCCTCAAACACCTGCTACCAGGGACTTGAGGGTTTCTGACTCTCCTCCCATCTAACTCCAGTTCCATAGGTTTATAATGCAGGGATCCAATGCCTAAATCAAAGCACTGTCTGCAGCTGGGCTTCTCAAAACTGCATCCCTTTCTTCCATTGTAGCTCCAGGCACTGGAACCAGCCAGCTGTTCCCCAGACCGCATCTTTAAAGTGGTGTTTGTAGGGAACTCTGGCGTTGGGAAGAGTTCCTTCATCCACCGCTTCTGCTATGACAGGTTCTTGGCTGAGCTCAATGCAACCATCGGTAAGTAATAGGGTTCCTGACTCATCTGGCTAAGAAGGGTGGGAAAATCAGCCTGGACACATGCTTTTTGCCTGTATTTTAGCCCAACTAAAGGTAAGGATGGTCCCTCACCCAATTTTGAATCAATCTTACAATTTCCCTGAACTAACCAGTGTTGATCTTGGCCATTGGCCTTGCAATGGCAAGCTGCTCTCTCCCCATCCTATCTTATGTTCATTGTTACCTTCCTGACAGGTGTCGATTACCAGGTGAAGAGTCTGATGGTGGATAACACCCAGGTTGCCTTACAGCTGTGGGATACAGCTGGACAAGAAAGGTAAGCAATTTCTGTGAGGATGCCCTACTGCCAGGCTCAGTGTAGGAAACAGGAGGAAAGGGAGAGAGTGCGTGCACCTGGTTTCTGTCTCTGGGAAAATTGTTAGCTTCAGAAGGACCAGAGAGGTTGCAGCAGCTATTCCAGTGCTGAACCTGTAGCAAAGGTCTGTTTTGGAGATTTCTAGAAGCTGTGGCTGCGAAGCGGGGCCCAGGGAGATCGCTCTGAGGACTGATGGAAAAGTAGTTTTCCATATGTCTGACCTGCATGCTTGTGGCTTCAGGTAGTCCATCCATAAATCACTCTACGGTATGGGGGTTGAAGCCCCTCTAGCCCTCAAAGCTCTCCTGCATCAGCCTGCTTCTGGGAAAAACTCCAGGACAGGGCTGCAGATTAGGACAGAAACAAAGGCTCTGGATGGACATCCTGTTCTCAGATTCAGTTGTGCTACTGCTGTCCCCAGCTGCTCACCACTACTTGCTATTCAGAGGGTGGAAAGGAGTGTGTGAATCTTTCCAGATCTGATTCAGACAAAGCCAGCTGAACTGAACTACCCTGCTGGACTCTGTCAGTGAGGCTATTGGGCCCCTTCCACTGTCCCTTCTGCTGATAGACCCATGGAAGTGATAATCCTTGGTAGAGGGGCAGTGTAGCTTCTTGTGACAGTGAATACAGGTTCCCCATTTGAAGGCCTCTAGTTTCAAAAGCATGGGCCATCACTAGATGTGATGTGATTTACACTTCATGTAAATTAGACTTTATTTAGGATGCACTTTGAAGCTGAAGATTAAAAGCTATTTCAAGGGGGCCATTAACCTCAAAAGCCTGGCAAAAATAAGGCCTTCAGGAGGCAGCCGAGGTCTTCGGAATATTATAATCCTGAGCTGTGCCAACAGAGTAATGATGCTGTCTACCTCAGTCAGCTAGACCATGTATACCTGGTGGGAATGTACTAAGTAGGACTATCTATTGAAAAACAAACTTTTCTTCCAAAATCAAGCTTCATGCTGAAGAAATAATGATTTTTGAGGGGACTCCTGTGGTTATTTCAGTGCTGAAGCTGAGCAGTAAGGGGAGTTGTTATGACATGAAGTGTGACATTTTACTGAGGCCAGATTGCATCAGAGGCCAAATTCAAGATATTGCCTCTGCAGAAGGACCTTTAGGGTAGGCCCCTGCAGCATTAGCAGGTCTTAGACATGTACTTGCAAGAGAGAACTTGGCTCAATGCTGATACTGAATAGGAGACCTGGGAAGAAACAAAAGCTTTTCTTACTTCTAGAAAAATATTAATTACTTCTAACTGGAGGTATCCAACTGTGAATATCCTATGGAAGAGATAGAGGAACCTCTTGGAGTGTGCAAGGAGAACTCCTTGGTGACTTCCCTGACACTGTTGCACGCTACATTTGATGTTTTTTCTGGAGAATCTAGCCTGTCCTGTAGTTCCAGAGGTGTACCTCAACTGCCAAAGACAGAGTCTGTGCTTTCTCAGTTGGGTGGTTTGTCAGAATGTCATGCCCTTATTGTAGTGAGAAAGAACAGGCTTCAGGCAATCATCTGAAGACTTCAGGAGGGTCACTACTTGCTGTAGGTTTTCTTGGCTCTTAATAGAATGGGAAAGCTTGTTATCCTGTGCAGGGCTGAAATACACAGCTTTCCAGTGAGATCTCAGTAGTTGTGTTGCATTTAATTCCATCAGTTTGCAATCAATGTGGTTATATCATGGCCCTGTCACAAACTGCTTACAGATTTCATGTGTTTTTTGGTGGTGGTTTGTGTTTTTTTGTTTGTGGGTTTTTGTTTTTTTGTTGTTTTTTTTTTTTAATTTATTCCCAAAATATAAGTCTGTGGTTCTAACTGGTACCCACAGGACAAAGTAGATGTCTGGTGGGAGTTTCTTCTGGAAATTGTGTCTGATTGCTGATTTTATGTATGATGGCATTGCTTTATAGATTCAAAACTGGAAACAGTATTGATGCTGAGATCTTAATTGCTGTTTTGGCAGCACTGGGGCAGACATTATGCATGCCTAGTTTATACTGTGGTACAGCTTAGTCTGCAGATTCTTGCAGAATCTAGAGAAAGGTCATGTTTTTTCCATCCATTTCCTTTTATATAGGCAGTTACCTTTTCCTATCCCACCTAAACAGATTCTTCTGTTTCTTTCCTCCTGACCTGCAAAGGTATTCCTTCCTGCTTTCTCAGCACCATGTGTTTGGAAAGACTCCTGCTTACCCATGGCTGCCTGGCCCGCCTCAAAGGTGCGAGGATCTGACCTGTCTGTCACCAGTCTGTACACAGCAGCCCCAGGGGACACATCTCATGCACAGGGGCTGCCAGGCCTTGCAGAGAGCCTGCACTAAAAGACAGATAATCCCATTCTGTTTCTTGTCACTACACAGCCGTGGTTCTGAGGGTGCCTTTGGTTTCATTTGGGCTCAGGTTTCGGAGCATTACCAAGCAGTATTTCCGGAAGGCGGATGGGATTCTGGTGATGTACGACATTACAGCCGAGTGCTCCTTCACAGCAGTGAGGAACTGGATGAGCAGTGTCCAGGTGAGAGCGGGGCCTCAGCTCTCTAATGCTGGTGGTGCTGCCGCTGCCTTGCTCCAGACCAGCTCCAACAGTCTGTCTGGGAGCAACGTTCTCCGGTGCCCCAGGAGGTCCTATTGACCGTGGGAAGATTAATTACCAGAGCAGATGCTATGGGTACTGCCTGTGGTAGTCAGTTTGGGACAAGGGGCTTCTTGTTGAAGATACCAAAGCCAGTGGTAGCCCATTAAATGAGGGAGGGCTGTTTCTAGGAGAAGATGGTGGCACCTGCCAAAACAGTAGTGTGTGTTTGTAAGCAGCCCATGTGCATTGGCAACATCTCCTAAACATGGTCACATCACACCTGTGCTCAGGCAAGGAGATCTGGTGTCCTGCCTATGCACAGGAAAGGGAGAAGGCCCCGGTGCATTTAGGCTCAGACCTGCAGCATGCATGCACAGCGCTTCGCACGATCTCATCCTGACTCTCCTTTGAGATTTCTAGATGAGACTGAAATATTAGTAACATTTTTTTTTCCTCGTTTGCTTCAACCTTAACATTTTTTTTTTCTCTTTATTTGCTGACTGTGTATTAACACTGTAGTCTGCCCCCCTGCTTTTTATTTCCAAACTCTCAATAAAAGCATTAATCTGTGGCTTGTATCTGCTAGCAGAGACAAAAATACCTGTCTGTATAATTTAAATAAGTTGTGTGTAGATGACTCAAAGCTGAAGGGAAATTGTCAAGGGTGGTTTTGTTTTGACTGTGCTGAGTCTCAAAAACCAGGATCTAAGTGAAATGCATAAGCATAGGTTGGAGGTTTCTAATATTATTAACTTCCACAGGCCTGTTGGGGGAAAAAACAAACCCCACTTAGCTATTTCTTTGGACTCTAAAAGATCAAATGTTAAGATTTTTAAAACTAACCAGCCTCTGAAAATCAGGCCCCTTTCAGGAAGGTTAAACTGAGCACACAGAAAATCAAAGCACCTGAAATCTGTAACTTTTAATAATATCTCTTTTCCTTTCCCCATCTTAGTATTTGTCTTGCTTTGAAGCTGTTCAGGTACTGTAAGTCATCCATGGCAGTCAAGTTTGGAAATAACTTGGAGCCCCACTCTGCAGTCCTTAACTCTGGTGATGTTCTAGTGAGCCAGTGAACTAGAGGAAGTTTTACCAACGGTAATGGGCTCCAGGAATCACCTAGGAATAACAGTTCCTACAGAGACCCTACACAAGAGTTGAAAGTTGCTTAGCTTGCTTGGCCAGTGGATTTTCAGCAAGGGATGGTTGAGTTTAGGACAGCACATCAGATGAATAGTACCACACATACACACAAAAATTATTGAACTTAATAAGAAGCTCTGCCTGAACTTAAATTCTGAACAGTCTATGGGGCAAACTGCTTTTCTTTAGGCTTGTTATTTCCCAGAGAGGAACTTATGTCCTGTCTCCCCTCTCTCAGCATCCCAGCTGTACATACCAAACATTTGAAATACATTCCCATAGTTTAAGCTTCCTTCCACAAATCCCTGGGGCTATTTGAGGAATGGCCCTTTAATGAGCTAAAGGGCCTGATCCTGCTGCCACTGAAGGTCTTGTTTGCATGAGCTGAACAGGATCTGCTCCAAGATATTTCCCTCTCTCAGCTGAGTCTCTAGGGTGCTTTACTCTGTTTCTTTTTCAGGAAGGTATCGAGGATGGAGCTGTGGTCTTTTTGCTTGGAAATAAAATGGATGCTGCACAGAGGGAGACCCAGAATGTGCCCAGGGTGGAGGGGGAAAGGCTGGCGAAGGTGTGACTCTCTGCTCTGCTGCTCGACCTGCTCTGCAGCCTCCCTCCAGCTGTGAGCAGGGCAGCCTGGCTGGCAGGAAGCCCTTCTT